TATTATTTATATAATTCTGTATCCTAATTTACATTTTGCCAATTTGATCTGTTCAAATCTATTCTATATTAAAATCTGAAACTGCCGTATTTTTGCCAATGGCTCTTGAATTTTAATAGTATTACTTTATGTACTTTTATACAACATCATCTAGTGCATAAAATTACTATATTTGTCTTCACAATTTTTCTTTTATTAATATAAAATAAACTCTTAATCTTGATGTGTAGTTTTATTCTTAATTCTACAGTGCTAGGTATGAATGTTGCTACTCGGACTTTCCTTTTGCTCATATTTGTCCGATATCTCATTGTGGGACTTTTACTTTGAATATTTCTGTCATTAAGTAAGTGTGTCCTTCATAAGCAACAAAGAATTGCATTTTATTTTGTAATTGAACTAAAAACATTGGTTAATTTTTAAAATTTGAAATCTTCAAAGTTCATTTGGAGAATATAATTTATTTTATTGTTGTAATTTCTATGCTTGGTTACTTTTTCCCATTCTATTTACTCCTTGACTATTTTGTCTGATTTGTTTCTGTTTATCAGCTTTAGTGATTTTGAGGATAAGCATCTTGTTTTTAATAGTCAGTTGTTAGGTCAAGGTTTAAAAAATCTTATGCTTTCCGTAACTATCAAAGTTAAAAAAAGAAGACAGAACAATGACTTTTCCCTTTTTTGCAATGTTTTCTTTGTACTGTGTCCTAGTAGTCTCTGTCATGCCTGCCCTCTGTGACCCAAGAACATCTTCCTTCTTCGTTACTTTATCTGAGGTATTACAGCTTGTCTTTTTTTAAAGACATGGAAGATCTCTTTGGGGCTTCCTGGATGACACTGGTGGTAAAGGACTTGCCTGCCAATGCAGAAGATGCAAGAGATGCTGGTTTGACCCCTGAGTGAGGAAGATCCCCTGGAGGAGGGCATGGCAACCCACTCCAGTACTCTTGCCTGGAGAATCCCATGGACAGAGGAGCCTGGCGGGCTATGTCCACAGGGTGACTCTGAGTTGGACATGACTGAAGCAACTTAGCATGCACGCAAGATCTCTTTCACTTTTTTTTTCTTCTAAATCTGTAACTATTCATCATAGCTTTGGTCTCTTTCCAGTTTCCTCCTTCTGATTCTCTGAACTTGCTCACCTTGATGTTTGCATCTTTTATTGTTGGCATCTCTTGGATATCTAAAGTTCTGCCTCTTGGAGGCAGTGTTTCTTTTCTTCCCCCCGCCCCGGAAGCCATACATACCTAGTTGGCTTTCTATGATCTTCACACCTGAACAGCCACCCAATTGGGCATGAAGTTCTTGTGCTCAAATTTAACCCCTTGAAACTCTTGTGTTATTTTTTTCAGAGAGGTTTCCAGGAAACTTGGTTTATCTATTCAAAAATGTTTGTAAGGTTTTATATTAATGACATTTAAAGATGCTAAGTCCTGGAGGAGGGCATGGCAACCCACTCCAGTATTCTTGCCTGGAGAATCCCCATGGACAGAGGAGGCTGGTGGGCTATAGTCAATGGGATCACAAGAGTCAGACACAACTGAGCCACTAAGCACAAAGATGTAAGTAGGACATCTGAGAGTGGCTTTCTTTCCAAAAACTGCATAAAACATGGTTCTTCTAATCCATGTTCTCATCTTCTCTGTGGTATAATTCAGCCTACATCTAAGGCACCAGCTGCTTGTGGTTAACAAAGTTCCTCTCAGGCCCTGCATGTCTGTTCACAGACCCAATTTGCTTGATCCATGACCTTTCCCCATTCATTTTATTTCCTTCCTGGTATGAAGCTGGAACCAGGGCCCTGGCGACTGACAATCCAGCTGGGGTCATGCCCACCTTGGGCTGCTTCTAGCCAATGATGGGGCTCTGAGGAGGCACTGGTCCTGGGAGATTCCTGCTGGACGTGGAACCTTGAACAGGCGACTTGTGCTTCCAGTCTCTTTCACGACTTGGACCATCATTCTCAGAACTGCACTATGGTCCGAAGCGCTTCCTACCCAACTCTTCCTTCCCCCTCTCCTTACACAGGTGTCAGACTGCTTTGCGGTCTGAGGGCTCTTCCTGTCCACTCCTATTTTTGTTGTTGTTTAGTCAATAAGTCCTGTCTGACTCTTTTGTGACCCTATGGACTGTAGCCTGCCAGGCTCCTCTGTCCATGGGATTCTATGGTCAAGAATACTGGAGTGGGTTACCATTTTCTCCTCCAGGGGATCTTCCCGACCCAGGGATGAAACCCACATCTCCTGCATTGGCAGATGTGTTCTTTACCAGTGAGCCACCAGGGAAGCCTGTACACTCTTATCTCACCCTTTATCCTTCACCGGCCTTTCCCCTAACACATTTGTCAAATGTCTACTTCTGTCTCAGTATTTGCTTCTCGGCCTCCCCCCCTGCACCATCTTACAGTGCAATCAGTTGATTCCGATGATTTCAGCGGATCCCAGAGCTGGCCAGAACAGGTGCCATCAACAGCCCCAGACAACAGGTCTAGAGTGGGACGTTGCTAGCCCCTACTACAAGTGGATTGCTTTTTATTTGCAGCCCATTCTTGGGGGGAAAAAAAAAGACTTTTATGTCTTGCTGCAGCAGTTTCTTTTAGTCTTATTCCAGTGAAGTTCCTGATCTTTTTAGAAAAAAGATTGTTAAAAAGATGGTTTCCTTGAACTTTCAGAGGGAATTTGGGGGATTAATTTTTCAGATTCTCTGCTCACTCTACCATTAGCTGGAAGTATTTTTTTTTCAACCTGATTTCTTTTTGCCAATCCATAGTGTGCTTATCTAGCTTCAAGAAATTGACATTTGAAAAGCTCACATTTGAAGTCGTTCAGCAAATTCAAATGTGACCTTTAGGATTTCCCTGCTGGAGGACACCGATAGCTGACTTGTATCTTTTCCACGCGAATACTTGCACATGAATAATTGGTACAGTCAGTTCAGACAAGCCCTGGCATCGTAGAACCATTTTTTTCTTCTGTTTTTCATCAATTTGTTCAATTCAGCCATGTTTTGGGCTTGAATTTGGGCTTGCCTTTAAACATCACTAATTTTTTTTTTTCTTGACCACTTTAGTTCTAATCTTTGAATCAGAAGCAATGAGCTGGGTTCACTCATGAAGTCTGCTTGTGCATGACCCAGCCCCAAACGGATGCCCCAGGTTCCTTTTTTTTGCAGTCTTGTTGAATCTCTTTAAGCACAAGTTTGTATTTGCTCTTATCTTTGTGGTTCTTGGTTTTCTGTTGTTTCTGATGTTGAAGGTGACTTGTCTTAGACAAATGAGTCTTCCTCTTTGGTGTTGCAACACTATCAGTTAGATCCAAATGGGTTCTTGTCTGTTCTTTTTGTCATTTTTTGAAACTTATCTTGTTGGTTTCAAACTATTCTAGCTATTTTTTTTGAGATAAGCTTGTTGGATAGTTTGGGATATTCAGTCAGGAGGGGGCAACCTGCCAGCTTACAGTTAATTTATTCCAGGCATCCTAAGGTTGGGGCAGTTAAGTTACACCTGGGACTTACACTGCACAACTCCAGGAGGCGCCATTCACACAGACGACAGGAGTCTGAAGCTTTTAATATGAGTCAGTACATTTTCTTAGATCTTCCATGACATAAACCTATATGAAAAGTTAGCACATAGGAAAATGTTGAATTTCTGGAAAGGCACCAAATAATGTATATTATATATTTACTATATAGTGCTCAATGGATGAGAGATATATGTATATTTCTGTTTTGCCAGCAGTTAGAAAGGGTTTGGGAATGACATTCTATATAGGGTCTTAAAAATACTCAATTCCTGCCTTCCCAAGGGCTTGTGATCTCCATCCATCTGCTGGTATCCAGCAACCATCTGCAGCCACACCTGCAACCTCGATCCTCTTGTTCCTGAAGCCAGCACTAATTTTCTCTCTGCTCAAAGGCCTTTCTTTGCCTTAGGGAGACCTCAAGCCTTCACTTCACTTCCCGGTGACTCAGTGGTGAAGAATCCCCCTGCAATGCAGGAGATGGAGGTTCGATCCCTGGGTGGGGAAGATCCCCTGGTGGAGGGCATGGCAACCCACTCCAGTATTCTTGCCTGGAGAATCCCATGGACAGAAGAGCCCAGTGGGCTACAGTCCATGGGGTCACAAAGAGTTGGACATGATTTAGCATCTGAGCACACACACATGCACAAGCCTTCACTCCACTCCCTTTGAGAATGCTTTTTTCTTCCATATTTTTCCAGTCTCTGTATGGTTTTCTTCTTGGAGCAGCTTCAGACTTTATCCTCTCAACTTTACATCCCAAAGAAAAAGCCCCAACACCCTTCCTAGAAACCCAAGCAAGAGGTTCATTACTTTTCATCCGTTCTGGGTCAGATATTCACCCCTGGACCTATAAATGAACCAATGACAGTGTCCCGGGGAATGTGCTGCACTGGCTGCCACCAGCCCTACAGACAGGGGTGGCGGCAGCTCTGCCCAGCCTCCAGGGTGAGGGTGAGGCAGAGCATAGGGGCAACATACAAAGAGCAACTGGGTTCTGAAAACAGCATTTGAAACTGTACAATCTGCAGCTCAAGCCAGCATGCCCTAGTTTTCTTGTTTCCAGTTCTGTGAAATTCTCTCTTTGATGAAACCAGTTTGGGTCAGGGCTTATGGTCTTGCTGATACTTTCAACAGAAAGACTTCTGATTGGAGAAAAGGGAACAGATAGTCATGCATATTCTGTTTTTGTAAAAGATAGAGACACACACATGGGTGTGTGTGTGTGTGTGTGTGTGTGTGTGTGTACAGAAAGAGTCTGGAATTAATATATATATAAAAGTCACAGTGATTACATCTGGGCAACAGAATTAGAAGGTGATTTTCCTTCCTGTGTTTTCTAATTCTTATTTGGAGAGCATAGATTGCTGTGTAATAAAGGGAATGTGTTGATGAATCTTGACAAAGTTGTTTGACTCCATTAGTTGTAGAGAGTAACAAGAGCTTCATCTCATCTATTGTTGACATTGTAGGAAGGAATATGAGCCAGCAGAACCAGAGCAAGAACTGCTCCTTTAATGATGTGGAAGAGCTGATGAAAACCGTGCAGTTGGTTGTTCACATCCCTACCTTCCTCCTCGGTCTGGTCCTCAATGTGCTCGCCATCCGAGGCTTTAGCTCCTTCCTGAAGAAGAGGTGGCCTTGCTACACTGCCACCTGCATCTACATGATCAACTTGGCGGTCTTTGACCTCCTGCTCGTGCTCTCCCTCCCGTTCAAGATGGTCCTGTCCCAAAGGAAGGACCACTTCCTGCCCTTCTGTACGCTGGTGGAATGCCTCTACTTCATCAGCATGTACGGGAGCATCTTCACCATCTGCTTCATCAGCCTGGACAGATTCTTGGCCATCCGGTACCCAATCCTGGTCAGCCACATCCGGTCCCCCAGGAAGATCTTCGGGATCTGCTGTATCATCTGGGTGCTGGTGTGGGTCGGAAGCACTCCTGTCTATAGCTTCCATAGCAAAGGGGAAGACTACAGGTGCTTCCATAACATGTCTGATAGCACCTGGAGCGCCAAGGTCCTCTTCCCTTTGGAGGTCTTCGGCTTCCTTCTTCCCATGAGCATCATTGGTTTCTGCTCCTCCAGGAGTATTCACATTCTGGTTGCCCGTCGGGACCACACCCGGGACTGGGTCCAGCAGAAGGCCTGCATCTGGACTATTGCAGTCAGCCTGGCTGTCTTTGTGGTCTCCTTTCTCCCTGTCCACCTGAGTTTCTTCTTGCAGTTCCTGGTGAGGAATGGCTTCATCGTGGAGTGCAGAACCAAGCAGAATATTATCTTGTTCCTGCAGTTGTCCATGTATTTCTCCAATTTCAATTGTTGCCTGGATGTTTTCTGCTACTACTTTGTCATCAAAGAATTTCGCATGGACATCATGGCCCACCAGCCTTCCAGAGCCCAGCTAGTCCACCAGGACACCATGACCACCATGGCTATGGCTAAAAGTCATGGAAAAAAGTCATGCCTGGAGGAAGGAAACCTCAACCTGAATTCCATAGTGGATATCCCTTCCCAGGGCTCTGATGTGGTGGGCTGACAAGTGGAGCATTTAATGGTGTGCCCTCCCTCTGATGCTCACTTGAATGCCATCTTTGCTCACTGTGGCCCCAAAACCTTTCCCCAGAATCCAGACAACTTGACATAAGCCACTCAGTGTCAATATCTGGGGAGCTCTGAAGAACCCAGGTGAATTCTTGATTTCTCACTCTCCAAAGCAGGAGGCCTTTGACTATGTGGATCACAACAAACTGTGGTAAATTCTAAAAGAGATGGGAATACCAGACCACCTTACTTGCCTTCTGAGAAACCTGTGTGCAGTTCAAGAAGCAACAGTTAGAATTGGACATGAAACAACTGTTCTAAATTGGGAAAGGAGTACATCAAGGCTGTATATTGTCACCCTGTTTGTTTAACTTATATGCAGAGTACATCATGCAAAATGCCAGGCTGGATGAAGCTCAAACTGAAATCAGGATTGCTAGAAGAAATATCTGCAGCCTCAGATATACAGATGATACCACCCTAATGGCAGACAGCAAAAACGAACTAAAGAGCCTCTTGATGAGGGTGAAAGAGAAGAATGAAAAACCTGGCCTAAAACTCAACATTCAAAAAACAAAGATCATGGCCTCTGGTCCCATCACTTCATGGCAAATAGGTGGGGAAAAAGTGGAAACAGTGACAGATTTTATCTTCTTGGGCTCCAAAATCACTGTAGATGGTGACTATAGTCACAAAATTAAAAGATGCTTGCTCCTTGGAAGGAAAGCTATGACAAACCTAGACAGCATATTCAAAAGCTGAGACATCACTTTTGCCTACAAATGTCAGTAGAGTCGAAGCTGTGGTTTTTCCAGTAGTCATGTATCGATGTGAGAGTTGGACCATGAAGTAGGCTGAGTGCTGAAGAATTAATGCTTTTGAATTGTGCTACTGGAGAAGCTCTTGAGAGTCCCTTGGACTGCAAGGAGATCAAACCATTCAATTCTAAAGGAAATCAACCCTGAATATTCACTGGAAGGACTGATGCTGAAGCGCCAATACCTTGGCCACCTGATGCGAAGAGCCATCTCACTGGAAAAAACCCTGATGCTGGGACAAATTGAAGGCAGGAGGAAAAGAGGGCGACAGAGGATGAGATGGTTAGATGGTATCACTGACTCAATGGACATGAGTTTGAGCAAACTCCAAGGGATACTGAAGGACAGGGAAGCCTAGTGTGCTGCAGTCCACAGGGTCACAAACTGTCAGACACGACTCAGCAACTGAACAACAACAAAAGCATGAGGCAGAAGAACTGAGAGAAAGAGACCATCTGAATAGGGCTGTTTTCCAACTCTCCTCTGTCCTTCTATTAGGCTAGAAGATTCTGGAAAGGAAGAGAGGAGTTAGGAGAGAGAATCGGGAGGGTTGGGCATGGAGGAGGGATGGAGTGGGAGGGACTGATGAAGCTCCTTTTCAGTTTGGGGATCCTGGGGTGGAGTGGTTGGACTTTCTGGTCTCTTCTGTCACTCTGTTGACCAATGACCACACAGAGATGCCAGCAGGAGGGGTGACTGGGGAGAGCAAGTATGCACAGAGAATCCCAAGTTTTCTATGGGCCTTGGAAAGGCCTGAGAGGTCACCCAAACCTTCCTGTCCCCAGGAGAAAGCTGCAGAGGGACTGACGGGGACTGGTGTGGACCAGGCTGTGTGAAGTTGTGGACACTATGTGGAAGCAGCAGGGACACAGTGAAAAGCTGTTGGTGACACCTGAGAACCATGAGGGGACAGGATATACCTGGGAAAGGTAGGGGACAGACCAAGGGCTGGAAGTGGACAGCCCATTCCTTGTTGCTATCTGAGCATCCACTGTGTGGAGTTTGAGCACTGGCCAGGGAGGAGGAGAGGCAGTAGAGACAAGCCTGGGAGAGGAAAATTCTTGGACATGACTAGCTTGCTCTGTTGAACACGCTGGGACGTTGTTGGTTTAGTTTTAGTTTTAGATTTAGTTGGATTTAGTTTCCTTGAGAATGATGAGAAGGACCAAGGCTTGATTTGGTTCAGCCAGAGAACAGGAAGATGTTTGACTTGCCCATCAGAGTCCTGGCTAGGCAGCTGGCCACGGTGGTACTGATCACAGAGCTGTCCCTGTTCTGTGGCTGGGACAGAGAAGATGAGAGAGCCAGGGACAGGGATGGAGGACCCATCGCAACGAAACAGGGCTCCTGGCAGTTCCTGGCTGGAAACTGTAAATGATTGACTCAGGGTTTGGACTGGGCTTCTCTGATGCTCTAAACAAGGTGTGGCGGTGACAGCTGAAAGCCTGCCAATGACTCAGCTGCTCCGGGGAGTGAAATGATTATCATTATTATAGGGTGGTTTGCAAGTCGGAGTGAGTGGGATGAAAAGTGCCGAATGAGACGATGTGCACAGAGAGGACGTCTTTAGGAGGAAAAGCAGCCACCTTCTACCTGCAGCATAAGAGGGGAGCGGATGGGGGACGTGCAGTGGGGAGAAGAGGGCGATTTAGATAAAACCCTGAGTGGGGAGGAGGCGAGGTCGGGTAATCGCCCAAGTCTTGAAGTGCTGGGGTTCTGCGAGGGGTGGGGTGGGGGGTGGGAGCGGCAGGAAGGATGGAGGGCAGGGTGGCTTCCTGCCTGAGAACCCTCAATTTGACCGAGAGCCGTTGACGAGCAGGAGCCTCGCCTTCTCCTGCCTCCCCTGTGGTCAGTGGTCGGGTCACACTCCGTGGGGCTGGAGGGAATGGTGAGGAAGAAAGGGTTGAAATGGAGCAGTGATCATGCCCAGGACCAGAGGCTCCGCCCCTCAGACGGGGTCTGCATGGGGCGCCAGACAGAGTCAGGGCTCTGTGACCGCGAGATGAGTACTGCCCACCTGCCCCAAGCCCTGGACACTGCTCCTCCTGCCTAGGCTGCACAGTCCCACGGCCATCCTGGACGGAGGCATACCTGTGCCACCCTCAGAAAGCCAGACATGCATCAGTAGGACACTCGGCTGGATGCAGTCAGAGCCTGGGGTGGGTGGAGCTATGAGTCGCCCCAGTTTCTCTCTTTGAGCCAGGAGCTGGGAGCCTGCCTGGTGGAGCTGAGCAGACAGTTCATGCCACCACTGCATTCAGGGCCAGACAGGCTTCTAAAGAGGAAAGGGATGAGGGGACCCTGACAACCCATCATCCCCAGCGATGTCTGTAAGCCTATAGTCTTGTCTTGTGGCAGTATGACTGCCTGAGCCAGGTGACAGAGGGCAGGAGGGGAGTCTAGACTCAGGAACTGTGTAATTAACTATTAGGTGTAGGTCCCTGGGGGGATGTGATGGTATGGAGTGGATGTGACAACTGTGGACCTGTGGGTGAGCCTTGGGGACCCCGTGACTGATCCCAGTACTCTCGGGGGAGGAGATGGATCTGCTCTCCCTCCCCAGGGGGACCCATCCTGGCCTGTGTAGTGGGGCTGGGCATAGGTCCAGTGCTGCAGGCCAGGCTGCTCTGTAGGAGGGTCCACCCTTGGGGCCCAGCCTGGCCCATAATCAGCAGTCAGGCCCAGCTGGCACAGGAGGGGCAGAGAGGCAGAATTAGGGTCAGGGTGTTGATGAAACCACCTGCAGCAAGTAGCAGTCAGTGAGTTGGGGACAGCTGAACTTAGCTGTGGAAAAGCAGAAACTGTCACCACTAAAATCAGTGGGGGCTTAGGGACATGGTCTGGTCATATGTGTCACCTTATTTGTACTCCTAATCTGAAAAACTCTGAGGTACACTTGGTATATGGACATGTGTGAAACTAAGACAATTAATTGGAAGCAATAATTTGATTGATCTGATTTTCCAAATAAATAGATTCCTGTGATGCTGAGTAACCTTGTCTTAGGCTAAACTTATTGGCTCCAGAAAAGAGCCGGCCACTGATGGCTCTCGTCAGGTGACCCAGTAATCCTGGTCAAAAGCACTACAAAGGGGCCAGGTCAAAGAAGCCACCTAGACACTGAGTCTGGGACCACAGAGACTCTGGGCCAGACTACACTCTGGCCTCATGAGCGTAGCTGGGACCTGTCCCAAGTGGCCAGGAGCCAGACCCTGCAGGGTCACAGTGCAGCTCCTCACAGCACTTTGGGATACCTAGTTCTCTTTGGTGGCAACCGGGCCACATGGACCCCACAGGCTGTGGTGCTGAGTCCACCTCACCCTGCTACCGCCATCTTGTCCCTCCACCACCATGACGCTGGAGCCACCTCCGAAGCTCTGGCTCCTCTGCACACGTTGTGCAGCCCAACACAGACCTGCTGACCATAAACAGGCTGAAGACACAGGGCCAGTTCTCCAGGAGCCTTCCGCCAATGGCCCCTCCCTATTCTGACTGCCCACTGAGTGAGTCCATCTCGCCCAGGTTAGATCTGATTTTTCCTTCATGGCTCATCCCATGTGAGTCCTGCTGACCTATCCAGCGCTCTGGAGAATGTGAACAGCCAGGTGCTGGCTGTTCTCCTGAGCCTCCCAGAATCCTGAGCCCAGCCCAGCTCTGGCCTGGGTGCCAAGGGATGACTGGGGACACCCTTGCTCCTTGATGGCTGTTGTGGACTGAATTATGTTGCCCACCCTCCCCACCAAATCAGGTATTATTTTCTTGGTCTCCAAAATCACTGTGGATGGTGACTATAGCTGCAAAATTAAAGATGCTTGTTCCTTGGAAGGAAAGCTATGACAAACCTACACAGCATATTCAAAAGCAGAGACATCACTTTGCCTACAAAGGTCCATAGAGTCTAAGCCATGGTTTTTCTGTAGTCATATGAAGATGTGAAAATTGGACCATGAAGAAGGCTGAGTTCAAGAACTGATACTTTTGAATTGTGGTGCTGGAGAAGACTCTTGAGAGTCCCTTGGAGTGCAAGGAGATCAAGCCAGTCAATCCTAAAGGAAATCAACCCTGAATATTCATTGGAAGGACTGATGCTGAAGCTCCAATACTTTGGCCCTGATGCAAAGAACCAACTCATTAGAAAAGACCTGTTGCTGGGAAGGATTGAAGGTTAAAGGAGAAG